GTCACCTTTTTGCTTTTCCTTTTTTCTTCCAGAGCTGCTCAGAATAATACAGGGGCTGTCCTGTTTCCTGGATGTTTGGTGTGTTGTGTGATTTATTACAGGGTCGGTGCAGGAGAGGCATCTTCATTCCCGTGCTTGAAATTTTGCTCCGTCGTCTCAGGATTTTCAAAAACAGAGAGTCCCTGTACTGGTTTTGGTTTGGTTTTTTTTTTTTTACAGTGAGTACAGTCATAGTTACATTTTATAAAATGCAATATTTTATAGTGCCAAAGGAGAGTTTAATGTTGATAATATAAACTTTCAAAAAAATAAAACTGAAGGACAGAAGTTAATGAATTGTCAGTGGTCAGATGAGCCCAAGAAAAGGCTCTGATGTTCGGTTAAAATTAGGTTCAGCTTAAGATCTTTGATGGATGCAGGTGGCGTTGAGTATAAATAGCACTACAGAACAGTCCGAAGGATCCAGCGGACACGTCTGTGCCTGGAAGCGTTGCATCCAGCTCATCATTCGCCGCAATGGAAAAATGATCTCCTAACGGAGGAGGGTGTGATACAGCATCTGCTGGAATTTAACATTTCCAGATGAACACTCCCACTGAGAGATCGCAACGGAACTAGAACGGTTTGTTGGAATAGTTGGATTTTAATGGTTCTTGGAAAACCAAAGACACGCTAAATATCGTGGTAGATCTGCAGTTAATTCCCACGCCTGGAAGGGAGTGAAGTGATGAACCGGGGAATAAGCGTACGGGCTGATGCTGGCGTGGATCAAAAGGAAATGGTCAAATCACTGCTCGCCGAAAAAAGTGTGTGTGTGTATATGTATATATATGTATACATACACACACACACACATATATATAATTGTCCCCTCGAGTACACGGAAACCTGGCCATAGTCTGGACTTCAGGGCAATTCTTACTTTTAATATATTCAACAGTTTTGCAGATCAAAAAACCTGTTTTATAGGGGATTGAGAGAGAGAGAGAGAGATGGATTTTTGGAATGCAAATAACTTGGGTTTATGGAAGAACTGGGCACCAAACTGAATCTGTCCTTGTCAGAGACGCAGCTGGGACTGTGGCTTCCTAATTCCCAGCATGGAAAACCAAGATTTGTCCTTTTTCCAGGCATCGCTAATAAAGCAGCAGTAGCAAGATTTTATTTTTATTTAACCCAGTTGTTCTTTATATTAACAGCAGTGTTTCAGAAGCCTTGAAACTTCCCTTGACTTGGCAAAATGAGTTCCTCTGATTGCATCCCCTTTTTGGGATCCATTTGAATCCCAGACTGGCAGGGGTGGGAAGAAACCTCAGGAGCTCACCCAGTGCCACCCCCCTGCCCAAGCAGGCTCACCCAAAGCAGGGGGCACAGGACAGCGGCCAGGCGGGGGTTGAAGATCTCCAGAGAAGGAGACTCCACAGCCCCCTGGGCAGCCTGGGCCAGGGCTCGGGCACCCTCCAAGTCAAGAAGTTCTTCCTCCCGTTCAACTGGAACCTCTTCTGCTTCAGGTTGTGCCCATGGCCCCTTGTCCTGGCACTGGGCACCGCTGGGAAGATTCTGGCTCCGTCCTCGTGACCCCCACCCTTGAGATATTTGTAGGTGTTGATGAGATCCCCTCTCAGCCTTCTCTTCTCCAGGCTGAACAAGCCCAGCTTCCTCAGCCTCTCCTCGTAGGGGAGATGCTCCAGTCCCCCCATCATCCTTGTTGCCCTCCTCTGGACTCTCTCCAGGAGTTCCTCATCTTTCTTGAACTGGGGAGCCCAGAACTGGACCCAGAGCTCCAGGTGGGGTCTCCCCAGGGCAGAGCAGAGGGGGAGGAGACCCTCCCTCACCCTGCTGGCCACGCTCCTCTGAATGCACCCAACGAGCTGTTCGCTCTCGAAGAGCGCTCTCTACAGCGCTATTTCATTGCGCTGTAATTGCAAGTTATACACTGGTTTGTACAGCAGCTATGTAAGCATAAACGGCGTGAAGTGAAGCCAGCATTAATTCATAGGTGATTTGCGTTGTCGCTGTCGGCCGGCGCGGGCGCTGTTGGTCCAGCCGTCAAGAACCGCAGCGGGTCTCCGGGCTCGCAGCCGTAATGCAGTGTCGGAGTTCCGGGGATTTCAGCCAGGCTTCTGCAAAGCGTTTGCCCTTTTAAAACCTGTAGCCCCGGTATTACTTGTGGGACCGGCATTGACTTTTACAATAACCAGCCTGCGCCTTCCTGTTTAGGCGGGAGGTGTTGCGAGGCTTCCTGCAAAAGGAGGAGCAAACAAACGTGGGTCGCTTGGATATATTGCTTCATACCTTAAACTGACTTTCCCGTGTTGTACACCTTGAATCTTTTAAGTAGGGTACGATGAAATCCTTTTCATAAGAGCAGCAAGGGGATAAACCAATTTAACGCAGTCCCTTTGTGGGTTTAAATGACTTCTCTCTACTGTTGAAATTCAGAATTCTTTTTTTCCACAGTTGAATAAAACCCCATCTCTCCATTTAACGTGGAATAAGCTTCTCTCCTGCACTCTCATTTTTAGATTTTTTTTTTTTTTTGGTGACGGCTGAGACTTCACAGAATCCCAGACTGGCAGGGGTTGGAAGGGACCTCGGGAGATCATCTGGTCCAACCCTCCTGCTAAAGCAGGGTCACCCAGAGCAGGGTGCACAGGACATCATCCAGGCGGGCTTAACGCGATGGTTCTCTGAAAATACTCCTCTTTTCTTTCCGAGTCCTCTTCAGTTCATTTATAGTTCATAAAACCTAAATATTTCAGCAGCATTGCCGGACTCGACCTGCAGCATCTCCTGCTCTTCCCTGGAGCCGCAAGGCGGGCGTAGGAGGCGCTTTGTGCTGCGCCAAATTCTTTACCATCCGTGGCGGCAGAAACGAAATAAAATAAAAGCTGTGTATAATGGCATAGCCAGGACCTTTTCGCAGCTGTGGAGTCTGTTTAAAACCAAGGAGTAACGGGCATGGGGTCATAGGGATGTAAAAAGCTTTGGGTGATGGTGTTTCCCCTTCCCTCTCTCCCCATCCCCTGGTGATCCAGATGGCTTAATTAATTTTGAGTTTTATAGGTAGGGGTGAAGTGTGTCCTGAATGTCGTTCCCTATTTCAAAGTGAATTATCCCTTCATGTAAAAAAGAGCGGAGCGTATTTGTTGAGGTCATCCTGAAAGCATCATCACTAAAAATTATCTGCTGATGCAGAAAATCGGATTTATTCTTATGCTAGCATTTCCATAAAAATACAATTATATATAAATTTATGTTCTCTAAAAGCCTGTAGTAAACTGGGCTTTCAGAAAATAAGACACTTATCTTTTAAAGTCCAGTTTTAAATGACCAGATGGTGCTTACAGTATGGACGCATAAAACTGTGTATGAGTTCTATGGAGAGAGGGGGGGGGGGGGGGGGGCGGTGTTGAGACTCGAGGTGAAACTCCTTTTAATTGCCGTGTGGTTGTCTCCTGCCCATCAGCAGAGCATCTGCAATATCCGTGGCCGTTTCTCAAGCACCTTGTTGAAATCACCGCTGGCCGGGTCTGGTACTGCAGCTTACTGGGGAGGCGAAATTAAACTTCAGTTTAATAAGGGGTTTATGAAGTGTATCTTAAGGCTTTCTGCGCATTTGAAAAACGCGCGTGCCATTTGTTTGAAGGTCTTCGTTCCTCAGCAAAAGCAGGGTCTTCGGAGCAAATGTGCTTTACATCACTTCCACTTCTGGATTTATTTCGGTGCTGCTCAGCCGTGCTCCTTTCCAGGGCTGTAACGGTGGTGTTGGAGCACGCTTCAGGCAGCAGGAGGTTCATCTTGCAAGGGGAAAAAAATAAAAAGAAAATCCAGAGAGAGGGTTTGCATAGTTTCTGCCTTCTCCTGGGGGGGGCAGGACACGTGAGCCCCCCAGTGCGTCCATGGAGGTCCTGTCCCCAGGGGCAGCCCTGTAATTCCCAGTCCCTCCTTTTCCCAGGTAACAGCGATGGGATGAGGGGAAATGGCCTCAAGTTGTGCCAGGGCAGGGTGAGGTTGGCCATTGGGGACAATTCCTTCCCCTTGGGAAGGGGCTGCCCAGGGAAGGGGTCGAGTCCCCAGCCCTGGGGGGAGTTAACAGCCGGGAAGAGGCGGGGCTGAGGGGCAGGGTCTGGGGGGGGGGTG